AAAGACATTGGGGTTGATTACTAACATGAATGTTCACTTTGAAATCTGTATGTTCAATATACAAAGTAAGAGGAATGAATTAATTGCACCAGATTTATTTTGAACCACATTCATGAACCCAATCATGTGCAAGGAGAGTTGAAAAAATACTATATTTGCTAGCACATGATTTGTTGATTAAAGTGAATGCAGCTTCATCTCATCTACTAAAGCTGGCCATTCATTAATCATTTTTATTGTTCAACCAGCGGGTTGAATGTAAAAAAATTAGCTGACACCCCCATCTACACATTCAGTGTGGAGGGGGGAATAATATCCGCAGTGCTATTGTGTTCTGACAGTGGGGAGACTCCTTTGCTGTCAGATTACAAAGATCACTGCTGCCAGCTATAAATAGTGGCACTGATTGTTTGGGAAAAACCTGACAGGCTGGTTGTACAGAAGTCGATCTGTAGATCGACTTCTGTACAACTGGCCTGCCCATACATGGATCAAATTTGGCTGCTCCCTGCTGAATTTTGATCCATGTATGGTCCACTTATGTGCAGTGACTATTCATGAAAAGTAAACATATACTTTGCTAAGTCAACAACCTGTATTCTCTCAGTAAATCAAAGCAATCCTGTCTTGTCACAATCTCCTAAACAGTTTATGGCAATATATTTTATTTATAGCCAAAACATTTTTTTTTTTAAGTTGTGGACAGAGCAGGGAAGGTTTACAACCCCTATCAATTTTTTATTGCTGTCTGTTTCCTCCCTGGGTAGCTTAACCCTCTTTATTTGATTTTGTCCCCTTAAGACTGTAAGTTAACTCTCTAATTTCTGATCATAACAATAACTTGACAATCCATAAAGTAACACTTAGCACTAAATCAACTCCCTTCAGCAGCTTCTGTCACGAATCTGCTGATCATACCAGCTCTTCTCAGCCACAGGGTACACTAGAATGCTATAAGCAATTATTGCACTGGAAGATCCCTTCTATGGTGTAGGTTATTCGATTTAAATATTTATTTCAGGTACATATATAGCACTGTCAATTTATGCAGTGCTTTACATATATATTGTACATCCACATCAGTCCCTAACCCTCAAGGGGCGTGTAGTCTAAGGTCCCTAACTCACATTCATACATACACATACTAGGGCCAATTTACCTACCAGCATGTCTTTTGGAGTGTGGGAGGAAACCTATGTAGGCACAGGGAGAACATGCAAACTCCAGGTAGGTGGTGTCTTAGTTGGGATTTGAACCAACAATCCTAGTATTGTCAGGTGGAAGTGCTAACCACTTAGCCACCGTGCTATCCCACAACAAGCAAGGGATTTCCCAGCAACACTTACCAGCCAACCTGCAAAAAAATGAAAAACAATTTGGCCCTGTCTGTTTGCATTAAAAACAGAGAGTTTTGTTTGCAAACATTTGCAAATACATGCGTAAGTCGCAGTCCCGCGTCAAGGGGCCTCTGTATACTGCAGTCCTAACTCTAAAATTTCCAGAACCTCCACAGTGGGAGCACATATATCAATGGATAGGTTAAGGGCAGGTGTGCCTGGAGGAAGCCCAACACTCCTTAAAGGCACAGGGATACACATGACACCCAGCTCAGGGGCGGACTGACCATTTGGAAACTTGGGCACTGCCCGAGGGCCGGGGTCAGTAGGGTGCCCCATGAGATGCCCCTGGTACCTTTTTCATAGACTTTTTTGAGTTTGGGCAAGGACACAGGGGCCCCATGATCCCCTATTGCCCGGGGGCCCCATGAGTTGTCAGTCCACCCCTGACCCAGCTATTTAAATATCAAGAAATATGTTTGATGGGAAGGCAATGCTTTTCTCTCCTCTTGCTGGGAGTTGCATATCACCAATGATAACCAACATGAAAGCAACACATATATTATTGGTAGAAATGGTTATGGTGCATGGTTAAATAATAGATTCATACAAAATGTTCACACAAATAAGAAGTAATACACCTCCAAAAAAGAAATTTTATTGAAGCGTACCAATTCTTAGATGCGGTGGCTGCAATAGTATGTTTTGAGTTTTTATGCTTTATTTTTGCTAGTTTTCAACTTTCTCTAACAAATCAATCTGTCAAGCAAAAGTGGCAGTTAGAGAGTTGGGACAAACCATTTAACGCCGACATTTCATTTATGTAAAACTTTTATCTAAAAAAAAAAAACAAACAACTTGGTATAATTTGTAAAAAAAAATGAGCTGGAGTTTGGTTTTAATTTGTTAGTCACCTGCATCTAAATCTGCTAGTGCATTAAACACTACCCTCTCCCCAGACTGACAATGCTGCTGTCATAAGGTGTCTCCGATGCTCTCTATCCAGAGTGGAGACACCCTAAGACAAGAAATGTGTTACAGGCCAGATCATCAGGTGAAAGTAAAGGAAAAAAATCCTAAAACTAATACAACCACCACTTTTAAAAATTGATAAGCTGTAATATGTTTAGAAGTTAACTACTGCTTTTAAACTGCAATCACTATGTCACTTTAGATATCAGTATGCTCTAATATCTTTCCCAAAGCTTGGCAGACAATAAATTCAACAAGCAGTCATGAAATAGTCATTGTGTACTTTGGTTCCATTGGTTATAGTGTTCAGTAATCTCTATTTTATAGCGCTTTCAACTACAATGATCACAACTTAAAATGAACATACCACATGCACTAAACAAGTGTCTGCGTATATGAATCCTAAGATGTCTTTATGCAAGCTTCAAAGAGACTTACAAGTGAAATTCTTTCAGATTTCTCTTTGTACTCTCCTGATTAGAGATGAGCGAATCGAACATGACGAAGTGGAATTCGTTCCGAAGATTTGGAAAAATTCGATTCGCGACGAATCCGAAGATTAGCAAACTTCGGATGCACGAATCGAATTTTCCCAAAAATGGCGGCGACATGTGTGGCGACGGAGAAAATGGACAGAGAAGATGGGGCGGGGATCTCTGGGAAGGCGCGCAGACAAGGCGCGCTGACCCATAATGCATTCATGACATGTGATCGCATTAGCCAATCAGCAGCCAGCCAGCACTGTGTAATGGTGGAGCTATAAATCGCGGCCATCTTAGAATTCTCCATTAGCCTACGGTCATTCAAGAGAGACAGACCTGTGTGTATTAAGGGACAGAGTTAGGGCACAGAGACTTTAGGGCCACAGAGATCTTACTAGGGACACAGAATCGTTACTCAGGGACACAGAATCGTTACTCAGGGACACAGAATCGTTACTCAGGGACACAGAATCATTACTTAGGGCCACAGCTATCAAAGAATCGAAAATTTAAAGTGACATACACCCTTTTTTTTTTTTTGGTGGCTGTCGTGCACAGTTGGTGCTGCAGTTTGCCGATTGTGCAAAATAAACTGACTTTCTGCTTCACAACCACTATTGTACGTTCAAAGAGTTAGATCCATTTACACGCCGGGTGGTGGTAATATTTTTTGGGTGATTAGTGCATTCCAGTGACATAAACGTACAGTTTCCAGCCAACGGCAAGCTGCAATTGACCGATTGTGCTAAATAAACTGACTTTCTGCTTCACAACCACTATTGTACGTTCAAAGAGTTAAATCCATTTACACGCCGGCTGGCGGTAATATCATTCCAGTGACATAAACGTACAGTTTCCAGCCAACGGCAAGCAAATTGACCGATTGTGCTAAATAAACTGACTTTCTGCTTCACAACCACTATTGTACGTTCAAAGAGTTAAATCCATTTACACGCCGGCTGGCGGTAATATTTTTTGGCCCCCTGTACCGGCTCCTCATGAACGTGGTTCAGCGGGTTTGCATCACTTAACGGCAAATCGTTGACAAACGCTGGGACGTTCAGTGTTGTGCGCATTAAGCCAGACACCAAAGGGCAGCACAGACCTGTTATTACTCGCTCAAGCATGGCTGAACAAAACCAGTCTCTACCACAAATTGGACCCAGACCTGCCCAGGGTCTCGTAAGTAGATTGCACGGAGGAGTAGAGTTCGTTATTGGAATTAACTGTGAGGGACTTTTAAACCTAGGCCTGTGTATGGCCTTCAATTGAAGCTGCTTCTGCTCCGCCACTCTGCCATTGGACTCTTGATAGTCGTCTCCCCACGCTGCTGCTGGGGGGACTTTTTAACATAGGCCTCTGTATGGCCTTCAATTTTAGCTGCTTACGCTCCGCCACTCTGCCATGGGCCCCTGTACCGCCTCCTCATGCTGCTGCCAGGCCCGTAATCTGCCATGGGCCCCCGTACCGACTCCTCATGCTGCTGCCAGGCCCGTAATCTGTCATGGGCCCCTGTACCGCCTCCTAATGCTGCTGCCAGGTCCAGAGTGTCTCATGGGTCCCTGTACGGCCTCCCATTGCTGCTGTCTCCATCGCCACACTCTGCCATGTGCCACTTTCAGGTCTCCTCACACTGCTGGTGGGTTCCATTTTGTCATAGGGTGCTGTATGGCCTCCCATTGCTGCTGCCTCCACCGCCACACTGTGGCTCCACACTCTGGTTTTGGCCCCGTGACTGCCCAAATGAGTGAAGTGTGCGGTGATTCTAAGATCGACGGCACTCATCTGCATGTCATACTGACTGACAGTATTATTTCTCTTCCCCAGCAGACTCCAAGGGTATTTAAATTAAAGGTACAGTGTTCTGCACTAATATAAAGGCTCTCTGAAGCCTAGAAACACCCTTTTTATAAGTTAAATTCGCAGCGAATATATTCGGCTCGAAGCAAATTTATTCGGCGAATTCGGCGAATCAGCCGAACCGAATTTTTGAATAATTCGCTCATCTCTACTCCTGATACATGGTAACAAACCTGCCAATGTCATCATTATTTTTTTCTCTGCAAACTTGAAACTTTTGGCATAAGGTACTTGTTTAAAAGCAAGCAGGTTGTAAAAGAGATATCTGTGCATGCTGAGATCCAATGTTATCTTTATATGTTATCTTTAAAGGAGACAAAAATGAAAAAGATTTACTTCTCTACTCTAGGTCTGGTCTTTCATTACCGAGCGGCAAGTAATCGGTACGCACTGACTTTCCCTGATGCTGTGCGATCCTGTAAGGAGAACTCTGGTGTCATTGCATCTCCAGAACAGCTGCAGGCTGCGTTTGAGGATGGCTTGGACAACTGTGATGCAGGATGGCTGTCTGATCGAACTGCAGGTGACTTACAAGATAATGGTCTAAGTTATGTTGGTGGGTTTTAGTTAGGTGTTATGGAAAATCCAGGCAAATATAACATACATAAATAATCCAAACTGTGTATTTATTAATACATGATTTCATGTATGTTTCTTAAATATAACTAGTTTAAATTTGACTTGGTATCACTCTCTTGCAATCCCCAGTACAGCCGGACTCAGACTAAGTGAGGAGCAGCATTAAGAACTGATCAAGTGTGCTGCATGCAAATATTTTATGTTTACAAGGAATAAGCTGACAGGAGGAGAGAACAGAGTGAGCAGAGAGATAACCTCATTGGTATCTTACTGCTTTTTTACTGTCCATTCAGCAGGCTGGGGGTTGAGAGATTATACTAGTGTATTCTTTAAAGTGTTACTAAACCCACAACAGTAAAAAATCCATCTGTATATGCAGTAAAACAGGGTTGTTATATTCACTGTGGAACCTAAGGGGTTAATCCTACGCATTGTGCAAAAAGGCTGTTTGATCCTGTCTTCTCTGATTCTCCCCTTTTTCCACAGTCCCCAATCCATCTGCTGATAGTACGGAGCAGCAGTGGCAAGTCTGCACATGCTCTGTTTGGTGTGTATTGCTAGATAGTTGTTGCTCTTTTTTGGGGGGGAGGGTGCATTTGATCAGCACAGGGCCAATCAGCACTGTTCAGACAGAAGGTCAGGGGTCATGCAACCTCATAGGACAATCAGAGGAGAATGAAAACTCCTCCTACAAGTTTTAACCATTGCTTGGCCAGACACTGATAGAAGTCACAAGACTGCTATATACTCTGATCATAAATGTATTTAGCAGTTTATATTTACTAAAATAATTTAATTTTCACTGTGCAATGGTTTTGCACAGAACAGCCCTGATCCTCCACTTCTCAAGTCCCCCGCCAGCATTTCTGACCCCTCCCCTTCACCCAATGTCCCCAGAGCAAGCTACTTGCTCTAAGGGCACACATGTGTGCTTGATCCCCAGCCACCTCTGTGTGTCTATTGGACACACAGAGCATGGCTTAGTCCTGCCCCCGCTCCCTTCACACTGGCTGTGATTGACAGCAGCGGGAGCCAATGTTTCAGCCATTGAGAAGAGAGAGACCTGGGAGAGCTGCTGCTCTCATGCACATTGCTGGATGGAGATCAGGCTTGGGTAAGGAATAAGGGAGCTGCACACTGAAGGTTTTTCATCTTCATGCATAGAAAGCATGGAGGTAAAAAAAACCTTTAGAAACACATTACCATTGCAGTCTATTGCACTCAAGTCTCACCAAAGTCAAAGAAAAATAGTGCAGGAACTTTTTTTTTTTTTTTTTCGCTGCAGCTTGAGTCACATTTATTAAGATGGCACCCATTGAGATGAAGGTGTTCTGTCTTGTAATGGGACTTTATGTGTCGCAAGTCGCATGATACGTTGCAGCAGTGTGAACAGGGGCTTAATTTTTACACATTTTACCATCAGCTGTGGACATTTTAATAATTTTTCAGGAATTATTGATATAACTATATATATTGAAAGGTTACCCAAGAAATACTATAAATTCTCTAAGATTATTTTCTGATTTAATTTTATAAGACCTATTCACCCATGTAATAAAAGCACAGACTTGATCTTTACAAAGTTGCTGTACTCTTTGGCTGACCGCAGAATTCTGAAGGATCCGAAAACATGAAACGAGCCAACCTAATTTATGTCAGTGCAGAGGGGAGGAGGTGAGTGGTGCAGGCAGACACTGCCAATGTCGCTTATCTTGGAGGAAAAGAACAATGATTGGGACAAGTATTCTGACATGCCTAAGTGATATTTGGCCAAGAACTGTAAACCAGCAGATGTCTGCCTTTCATCACAGACACAAGATCATTTTATGGACTGGTTTTACCTTTCTGAGCAATTTTATATTGCAGGCAGAGCATTTTAATAATATTTAAATATTACTAGCTACCTGACTTGTCCTGTTCTTCTTCTGCAAGGTTTTGAGCTATCCGCTGAGTCCAATATGAAGTGTTTCCAATGTACCCAGTGCCAATTTTTTTTTTTTTTTTTGCTTAGATACATAATTTATAGTTCTCATATTGCAGGAACCGAACTTTGATCATTTTGTAAAAATATATAAATATATGTATGTTTATATATAGGGTTTGACTTACTAAAACTGGAGAGTACAAAAACTGGTGCAGCTCTGCATAGACACTAATCATCTTCCAGTGTTTATATTGTCAAAGCTTAATTGAACAAGCTGAAGTTAGAAGCTGATTGGCTACCGTGCACAGCTGCAACAGATTTTGCACCCTCCAGTTTTAGCAAATCAGCCCCATAGTGTATATGCAGCAAACATATATGCATATACAGTATATTTGCAGCACCTAATTTGCCAGGTGGGTTTCATAAATGTTAATCTATCATTACTTAATGAAGTATTGAAAACTTTGCAAAGCATTAAAGACAATCTGTACATAAGGGGGATATGTAGGCTATTACTAAAGTGATATTAAAGGTTAGTTTTTTTTAATGAAAAACTTGTCATACTTACCTACTCTGTGCAGTGGTTTTGCACAGAGCAGCCCCTACCCTCTTCTTCTTGGACCCCCACTGGCGCTCCTGGCTCCTCCCCCTTGACCATGCTATGGGGGCACTGATGCATGCTCGCTCCCGAGCCCTGCTCAATGCATCCGTAGGACGCATAGAGCCGTGGCTGAGCCCCACCACCTGCTCTCTCCACATTGGCTCACTGCCCCTTAGCGCAGCCAGCAATGCAGAGCGACAGAACAGTAAATCGCTCTGGCTGCTCTACGATTTCAAGGATGAGAAGTGTGAATTCGCCCTTACTGTTGCCTCAAAAAGCCTCAACTCCTGGCCAAATTATTTTTGATACGGGGGAAGGGTTAGAGCCTGTAGGTTATTATAGATGTCTGGTTCCTAGCATTTGGTCAGGAAAATTTCTCCACTGGCTACAAAGACAAAACTATATTTTCAGTAGAGGAAAAAAACGTTCTGACAAAGCTTTTATTGCTGTCTGGCCTTTCTGTCACAGGCAGAAATAAAAACTGACCACAAATTTATAGTCATCCCTATTCTATCCAAATCACATTCGGTTGGAGTTAGGCATTTACCGTTTTTCAAATTGTTGTAACTCAGCATGAGACAAGTTTACCATCATTTATGCCAATTACAATTTGACTAGATGTTGGAAAAAGTTATGCCTGCAAGTAAGAAAAAGCTTTCAAGTGTGTTTGCCCCAAGCCATTTTGTCAGCTCAAGCTTTGCATAATCTTGCAGTGAACATTTCTGAAAGCAATATAATGACTCTGTATAGCTATAGATTATTTCTGAATTGAAAGTTTCTCAAAATTAACAGATTATACTTTAGTAGCGCAATTTTGTACTGAATTCTTTAACTAGAGTGTCTAGGGGATGGTAAATTATGGCTAGTTAAAGGTCCCTATAGATGTATATAGAACTTTCCTTATAAAATGGGTATAGCAAGAAAACTGAGAGGTTAAACTAAATGAATAGATTGTAATCTAACAAAAGTGTGCTGCGTAAAGGGGATAATAAATGTTCATCTTAAAATTCATTATTATACATTCATCTCTTCTGCAGGTATCCAATAAAAACTCCCAGGCCTGGTTGCTATGGGGACAGAAATAACCTGCCTGGTGTTAGGACATATGGAGAAAGGGATCCACAGGAAACCTATGATGTATATTGTTACACCGAAGAGCCACAAGGTAGATTTTAATTGTTTGGGGCAATTGGGCTTAATTAACAGAGATAACAATCATTAGCTAGCACAATATTCTTCACCTTCATCAGTGACAGCCAACGAGGGCTGAAAATAGCAGTCACACAAAGGAAAATTAACAATTGTGATGAGAAACAACACAAGTGTTATAGTTTAGTAATTTCATCATATTATAATGTTCAGCTTTGTTGCCTGATAGCAAGATCAGCAATCATTAAACATCTTCACCATCCTTGTATAATTTATTATGAAGTCTTGAGATTTTGTCTTGGCATACTTTCATCATATGAATAGCGCAATCACTTTTATTGACTTTGCATCCCCTTTTAGAACCTATCATTATCATTACTGCCAGATGTTCCAACCGAGAGTTGGCTTTGGAAAGCTGCACTGAAGCAAATTCATTTTACACACTATCTCCATCTAGTAATTTGTAACTTTTTTTTTTAATTCATCACCCAGGAGATGTTTATTATGTTGCCGAACGAAACAATCTGGAAGGTGCCAGAAACTCCTGTCTGCGTGATGGGGCAACATTGGCCACAGTGGGGCAGCTATATGCAGCATGGAGAAAAGGTTTAGACCAATGTGATCCAGGCTGGCTGGCAGACAACAGTGTCCGTTACCCAATTCGGAACCCAAGAAAAAACTGTGGTGGTGAAGAACCAGGGGTTCGGACTTTATATCAATATCCAAACCGCACTGGTTTCCCTAGCCCCATGAAGAAGTTTGGAGCATATTGCTACAAAGGTAAAATTTGTAATATTATATATCTGTTATGGTAATATCATTCACCAATCACATATGATGTGTTTTTAATACAGAGAATGTGTAAATGTGACAGCTTGGCAATTGTCATGTGTAAAGTAAGCAGCTTCTGTATCTTTACAAACAAAATTTTAGATTAAGTTTTGAATCCAGTGGGGCTCCCAATACTTACTCGGTATACTATTAAGCAATATTATTATTTTCCCATATGCCCCCTCTTCCCCCTCTTCATTCCTCATCCATGACCTAGCTTTGGTCTCCCTCCCCCCATTTAGTTTCTTTTAGACTATATAACTTTTAAAAATCTCATCTGATTAACTACAATAAATATATTTAATGTATTTTCCATAAGGCTAAGCTTTCTGTTTATGATATATGCTAAGGTATCCTAGCTCCTTTAAAAAATATATTTTAATTTGCTTCATATCTAAAATCATTTAGGGTACCTTCTATCTAGGGCATAGGGTGCCTCCACAGTTTTTTAAATGTAATATTTTATAGAGTTACAAATTTACTATCGTTGTCATCAAATCACATAGGTAGATCACCATGACATACAAATTCTCAGAATGTACTAAAGCATTAAAACACACACTAAAAACCAACATCAGCGCACAGGCCAATTTGTATTCTTACAACAACCACATATTGATGTTAGTAGAGAAGACAGAGATGCTACTGCTCCAAACTTTGTCTCCCTACACGTCTGGGCTCTCAGTTGCTGTCCCATGAGCCTGTCCAAGATCTATACATACTAATTTCAAGAAACAAAGCAGCCACATGCCAGTGATGTCACTTCCAGATAACACGGTATTGATCCAGTCTAGCACACACATAATATACCACTGACTGAAGACGGTCCCCTCCCCTGTTTGGATCAATAAAAATGTTATCTTTAAGTGTCGCCGTTGCTGTGCAGCTTTGTCATATTATTATTAGTAAACTGTCTTTTTCTTCCATCAATACAAATCATGAAAAATGAAATACCAAACATCACTTTACCTAACGTCACAGCATGTCTCTCAAAGAATGGGGACCATAACGTCATGCAATAAAAATATTATTGCTGCTTTATAAATCCTCTGTGGGCTGTTGTCTGAAAGCAAAGTCTAAATTTCAGCATAATTATCCAGATATTTTCAGTCTATGAGGAGTATAATGGCAAAAGATTTTACAAATTATTATCCACAATTCTTGCTATGGCGCAACCGTGCAACCTCAAAAATCAACTATTCCAACAGTATTGTGATGTCAGATTCTTCTCTTTGCATACAACTCACAACATTAAATCTAAAACTGGTTTTATTTCCAGTACAGAGTGGAATGCTTTAGTTTCTTTGATAGCCTCTTGTACATTTTTAAACATTAAAGCAATAGTAAACACCTCACTCACTTGTACCTATAGGTAAGCCTATAATAAAGCTTACCTGTAGGTACAAGGAATATCTCCTAAACATGCAGCGTTTAGGAGACATCCACTTTCACTACTTCTGTAGCTGGTGACGGCATGCCGCCCCTTCAGAGCATTGTGCCAGGGCTGTGGCTCCTTGCGCACGCACTCAGGAATGATGTAATCGCGGCTCGGCCATTTAAATTGCTGGAGGTCACCAACTCCGAAGAGGTGAAGATAGAAGCCCTCTCAGCAGTAACAGTGTGCCGCTGGAGGGCTTTGTTTTAAGGTAAGCCTCTCATAATGTACTAGTATGCAATGAAAACTAGCACATTATGACATTATAACATCACTGCTTTAAGACATTAGGTAATACCAGAATATATTAGGGGATACCGAAAAACATTTTTTCAAAGACTAATAGGTTTTTTTTAAACCTCTCACAAGTTAAGACCACAAAAAAACAGTTCACCAGGGAGACATGGTCATCTACTTTAGGTACATATAAGCCCTCTTATTTCTGGAATTCCCTCCCTTGCACGGGGTGTACAAGAGATTGACGTCTGTCTATATCATGCATTAAAATTTTGGCAGGAGATATCTTTTTATTCTGGCGACCCTTCAATGATGAAGGGCACGCAGGCTAGTAATCGGTATGGCAGGATGCCAGCTTTCCCTATTGCAAGATAATGCTCCAATGTGATGGGAATACACAATGTTAATGGGCTAGTACTAAAGAAGGAAAAGATGAATACAGTTTTATAAAGAATTTAAAAACAAATTAAAATGTGACTTTCTCAGCACTGTGAACAGCTCCAGCCAGAACATTCGGTAAATTAGGGTGTTTTACTAAAGGAGCTAAGAACATTCGCCCAATAAAATAAGTGAATATTTACATCAATTATTAAAAATGAGAAAAGTAAATTCCTGTTTACTTATTTCAACTGCACATTACCGAGTATTCAAAGTAAATAGGAATTTCCTTTTTTGTGATTGGGTAACTAAAGTTAATTTATTATTCAGTTTGTTGAATGCAGATTATGAACTACTTTAGTAAATTAGCCACGGGTAATTAACATCTACCCATTATCAATGTTATATTAAGTATCTAACAAAGTGTAGCAAATAAAAGGATTGCACAATTATATATGGTACAATACTCATCTGTTTCCACTGAAGAACAAGTACTCTCAAAGGTGGGTGAATGTTTTTCACTTTGCAAACAAGACATGCAAATACGCTTTTTATATAGGGTAAATGTCAAAAATCCAGCATGGTTGATGTTCAGTTCAATGTATAGTACTGACTTTTTAAAATGTTTTTGAAGAAACACTTTCCTTAATTTTTTTTAGATATTTTAATTATAAAAAAATGTTTTTGAACATTTCTGAAGACAACAACACAAGTCAGCTTTTTATTGCTCTGTTGTCACTGTGACAGAAAGTAAGGGGAGATCTATAAAAAGGAGTCTTGGATATCAGTAAAACCCTGCAGTGATTCTAACCCTTCCAACAAACAAGCAAAATAGTTGCACTGTTCTATACAAACCACTGTAACATATTAACAGGCACTTATATTTGTGCACTGAATAGTTACTATTATCTAACTATTATCTTGCAGTAATTATGCATTGCTGCACCTCTTTTCCTAGTATGTCTATGCTGACATTAACCACTTCAACCCCAGAAGGTTTTCCCCCCTTCCTGAACAGGCCATTTTTTGCTGTTCGGCACTGTGCTATTTCAACTGGTAATTGCATGGTCATGCAACGCTGTACCCAAATGAAATTTGTGTCCTTTTTTCACACAAACAGAGCTTTCTTTTGGTGGTATTTGATCACCAATGGATTTTTAATTTTTTGTGATATAAATGACAACAGAATGAGAATTAAAAAAAAATATTTTCTACTTTTTGTTATAAAAACATATTTTGTAATAAATTTAGGCCAAAATGTATACTTCTACATGTCTTTGTTAAAAAATCCCATTATGTGTATCTTAATTGGTTTGTGTGAAAGTTATAGTGTCTACAAACTATGATATATATGTAGGAATTTACGCAGCTTTTATTGCCTATCTCATTTCTTGAGGTGCTAAAATTCCAGGGCAGTACACCCCCCCCCCCCCCAAATGACCCCTTTTTGGAAAGTAGACATCCCAAGAAATTTGCTGAGTGGCATGTTGAGTCCATGGAAGATTTTATTTTTTGCCACAAATTTTTGGAAAATTAAAAAATAAAATTTGTTACACAAAGTTGGCACTTAAATGATATATTGCTCACACACGCCATGGGTATTTGTAGAATAACACCCTAAAACACATTCTGCTACTTTTACCAAGTATGGGGATACCACATGTGAGAGACTTTTTGGCAGCCTAGCTACATACAGACCCCCAAAATCCAATGACTACCTTCAGGCTTTCAAAGGGCACATTTCCTTATATCACTGCCTCACTACCTATCACAGTTTTCCGAGTCCCTGAAATGCTAGGTTAGTACAAACACCCCCCAAATGACCCCTTTTTATAAAGTGCTGATCACCCGCACATTGCGAATGGGCGGTTGGCAAGTAGTTAGAAAAAAAACTTTAATTGCACCTTTCGTAACATGTTATACCCATATATTCAGAGTGTAACGTGTAGCATGTTACGAATGGACTGGCCCCCACACCCCCACAATCCCTATTGAGACAGCTAGCGGGGGATCTTCTCCTTAACCAAGCTTTCACAATTTTTAAAAATGCGGCCATTTGGGGCTCCACCCACCTGGCCGCGCCATTCATTCATAGTATTCTGTGAATGAGAACACTATAAGTTCTGACAGCCATTGCGGCTGTTGACTTGTAGTTCTCAATGAACTACCACGGCTCTGTGGAGCGCTGTGATAGTTCATTTAGTCTTCCTGTCAGTAAGAATCTGCTTGCCCATATGAAATGTATGGACACACAGGGACACTAACAGGTCTGCAGGAGACCTGTATGGCACCAGCGATCTGCTGATTGCTGGTGCAATGCTTAGAGGCTCCTGAAACAAAAAATAATAAATGCACATTTTTTTACCTGCAAAAAAAAATTTGCATTTTTTTTGTTAAAAGGCGAACTTATCCTTTAATAAAATTTAAAAAAAAAATCAATACTGAATTTTTTTTTATACTATTTATAAAAAAAAATAAATTTATAAGAGCAGTTCAATGATACCATGGTAGCATTGTATTACTATGGGAGGGGCGGGGGGTGTGATCAGGGATTTTTAATTTTTACACTTTGCATTGCAGGAGCAATAAAGATTATTTTCCCTGCAATGCAGTGCTTGCTTTGAACTGTCATGAATGGGTTAAGTTCATGACAGTTCAAAATACAAGTGATCTGTGATTGGCTACAGCTAATCACATGGTACAAGGTGTTGTGATTGGCCCATGTACCATGTGAGAGATGTGGGCCAATCACAGCTCACCATAAAGAGAAACAAAGCTGTTATGAATCAGATTGATTCATAACAGCTTTGATAACATAGTGATCATGTGATCACAGAGCGATGCAGCATTCGCATGGATACCAGGAAATCGCTCTGCCTGTGGCTGCCACCCATCCGCAGTACAAGTACTGCGGGCGGTCGGCAAGTGGTTAAG